TCGCAACACCTGACCACGCCACCAGCTGACGTCACGCGCCCAGCAGACGGTGCGCCGCCCGGCGCCGCCAGCCAGCCAAAACAACATCCGGTGAGCGTGCAGACGACGGAGAGGAAGGGGGGCAAGGCGAAGAGGGACGCGTCACAGAGTCCTGAAGCTGAAGATGAGTCCTGGAACATAAGAGAAAAAGGCAAGAAACCAAAACGAAGACGGAAGAAAGACAAAAAAGAAGAAATGTAATTAAATTTGAAATTACGTACCTTGCTCTTTGAAATTACTGATGAATGCTAATTTGAAAATGTCAACTGATTTGAGATGTGATTTATGCATACTGACTCTGATTTGAGTGTAAACTATGAATGCTGCATTGACGAACAACTGTTAGAAAGTAGACGTGTACCTGTCATCTGAGAAAGAACACGAATTGGTTAATAAAAATGCAAATATGCCTGGGAGAATAAGGGGGGAACACACGGAGTAGAGACGTAGCGGAGAGTCAGGAGTATTGACGATGGAGGGAGAGACACGGAGTAGAGACGGAAGAGGGGAGGAGAAGGAGGACAGAAGATGAAAGGCGCTAGATGAGCGCGGAGTATGGCCGCTCTGCAGAGCAACGGTCAACAAATCGGACTTCCAAACGGATATACCTCGGTTCAATACCACACCGGGAACAGGTTTTTGAAAAAGTTTTTTAACTTTATATTTTATTACCTTACTTGTACAATTCAACCATCTTATTGTATATATTTTCCTGTTAATAAATGTGTTTTTAAAAAAAAAGTGGTCATCGTACTGGGCTACCAACTCCGAGGGCAGAGGTTCAACTCCCATCAGCATCATCAAATTTCATCAAGGTAAGAGTGCTACAATCAATTAATCGGATGAGAGGGGGTTAGCGGGGGAAGGTAGGAAAGGTAGTAGTAGGAGAAATTCCTGGCACAAAAATTTTTCGAACGAAGTTTTGAACACTGCACTTTACGTGTGAGACGAACTGTAGGTTTTGTTTGTACTTCCCAACTGTTGTTCGAAGTGTAGTTCGAAACTAACCCGCCAAACTGCAGTAAAACTGTGCGACCCGCGAAAAAACAACAGTCCAACTGTTGTAAAACTACAGAAAAATTGTAGTTTTACAACATATTACTATAGTTAAACTACATGTTTACTATATCACCCATATGCATTTTGAATCTAGTCAAAGGATAGTTTTAAACTTGATACTAGCTACAATACAAAATCTACATTATCCGCAATCAGAAAGTAGTCAATGTACACTTACACTGCAGAGGCAAATTTGGTCCGAGTGTAGTGAATTCCAAAATGCAGATCCTTCCACCCGGGGATTTTGGCTTTTTGCCTGGAACAGGTGCAGTGCAGTGTTTACTGTTATTATTTGTTTTTAAGCGGGTAGGCTCTATGTTTGTCCTTGTGCTAGATTCGCCATTGAAGGCTTTGTCCATTTTGAGTCCCTCTTGTGCTAAAATGAAATTGTTTATCCTTGCATCAAATCAATTAGCACATATTATTGCAACATCCCATCAAAACAACCCAAAAATCAGAGTGTTGTGAACACGGAAGAGCAACTCTTTGTTGGAACTCTGAAATATGTCAGTATACATTAGTTACAGTATGCTTTTAGATAGACCACATATCGTGCCAGTATAGTTTCAATAAAAAATAATATGTGATTGAACTTACATTTCTTCTGTTACAATCAACGATTTATTTGGGTGTGCCCAGCAAAATATCTGTATGCTCGACAGTATTTTCCCTTGTTGGCGAAGATTCGGATGATGATCTGACTGATGAAAGTGATTGCGAAGTTTTACGTCCTAAGGTGAGTGTTGCTATTCCATGCCCTCAGGCTTACCTAATATAAATTCACTGTAAAACGAAGAGTGACCTTTCTTTCCCGAATAGAGAGACGTCTAGGCGTCATCGCTCTGTTAGAGCGATTTTTGCGAAATGACTCAACATCAGTGTTGTTAACGTTAAAATTGAAATTTAACGCGTTACGTTTCGTTAATTTGAGATTTGAGTTAACGTAAACGCGTTACGTTTCGTTAAACGTCGTAACGTCGTTGACGTTAATGCACAACAATGAAAAAGATGTAAAATATCGAAAACTAAGAGTAGAGAGGTGTTAAAAAATAAGAAATATCATGAAAAGTTCTTGTTTTAGCGCAACTAGAGGATTGACTTTCTTCGGTAGCTCATCGCGATAGGGGTGCTAAGAAAACTTTATTGTTAGCTGACCAAAGCTGCCCAAATTTAGGCGCATGTAAAGGTTAACACTGTTAAAAATATTTCATTACATTTTCATTACATGTTGTGAAGCTATTTTCATTAGATTTTCGTAATGATATTTAATAACTTTTTCATTACGTATCGTTAAATTTCATTACATGATGATGAAGTTTCACAATACGTAATGAAAAAGTTATAAACTATCATTACGAAAATCTAATGAAACTAGCTTCACAACATGTAATGAAAATGTAATGAAATATTTTTAACAGTGATTTAACGTCAACGTCGTTAAGACGTTACGGGACCTGGTTAACGCAAACGCGTTACGTTTCTCAGCTGCCAAAAAGTTAACGTCGCACGTTAACGTTTAAATAACGTTAACGAAAACTTCGTAACGTCGTTACCCGTTTAATTAACGTTAACAACCCTGCTCAACATGAGTCTTCTTCGTAACAGAAAATGTCGCAGAAACGACCCTAAACGAGCGACGTTTGCGAAAGTGGCTCAAAATTAGTCTTATTCGTAACCAAAAATGCCGCGAAAAAATATTGCAAACGAGCGATGTAATTAATATCGCCCTCCCAAGAGTCGTCAAATTGGCTTCACTGATATCGCTCTCCTGGGAGCGAAAAAGGTCGCTCCTTTACTTGTAGTGTTGAGTGAACTATGTGCCCTACTCACTTTTACTTTTTCTTTTCAGGAGAAAACATCTTCAGCGAAATTTATTACGAAGTCTGCCAGCCAAGCACAACCAAGTGGTGGTGGCCCTCTCTTTCAGGTTCGTCAGAAGCGTATGAAGATGTCAGATGGCCCTACGGTAAGATGATACTCAGTATGTGTCAGTCATAACATCATTCATATGATGATGTCTTTACCAGACATTTCTCTCTGTCATTTACAGACCCTCAAGAAAATTGACCATGCTGAAGTGGCAGCAGCTAAGAAGAATGATGGTCAACCAAAGACAAGCCATCGCTTTGGAGAGCTATTCAATGTAAAGCAACAGTTGTGCTTCAACAGTGTTTTTATAACAGACTTCTGAATAATGTCCTGTATTATTATTGTTCTTTCTTTTACCTTTTTTACATTTTATGATTACCTTGTACTGTACTCCTTACTGTACCTTTTCTTTTTAATAACTCTTAATGTGTGTTTCTTATTAATAGTAATACTTAAATCAAGAATAAAGTAAATGTTATGTTGTGGTCAATCCTGGATAGTTTATGTTAGGGGCTGATAAGACCCACCCCTCGGGCGATCCTCGATAGGCTAGGTTGTGTTAGGGGTTGATAAGATCTTGGTTAGGCTGAGTTAGGGGTTGATGAGATCTTAGTTAGGTTGAGTTAGGGGTTCATAAGATAAGGTTTATAGATGGATGTTAGAATGGAGTTGAATGTTGGAATGGGGGATAAAGATGGTGGCCCGTTAGAATAGGGGATGGTTCACGCAAAAATAGAATTAGTTCTCACAACGAACAAATTAGCTAATTTTGGGATAGCTAATCCCAAATTCGCTGTGGCAGCGAATAGTTTCCACAGCAAAGCTTCGCTGTGGCAACTAACTTTCGTCTGTAGCAACCTACTGTTAGCCGCCACAGCGAGTTTCTTGTCTATCCTAAAATTAGCTAATTTATTAGTTTTTACAACTAATTCTTTTTTTTTTTTGTTTTTCGTGTTACTACTGCTGTATACGGTATTTCAATGGAGCGCTGCCCGGAACTAAGAACAACAAGCAGGCCCGCCCTTCCGCCAGACGGAGTTGCCAGCTCCACTTCGCTGCGCCGGCAACTCCGTTCGGCAGGGGCCGGGCCTGCTTGGCCTGCCGGCGGCGATGGTCGGGCCTTCGGCCCGACCATTTCA